TAGTAACAGTTCTAGTTGACCACATTGTATCTGATTAGATGGTACTGACTTTTCTGTAAAGCATTCTTTGAATCTGAATTGCCTGTTACAGAGTTTTATTTCTAAAATCAAGTGCATAGTTGAAGAACTTTGCAATTTAATGTTTAAGAGGAATAAGTACTGAATACTATATTGGAATTTGTTCTGTTCCAGATTTTGAGTCCATTCATAATTTCAACTGTTGAATATCTGTGTTCTCTTTTTTCCCTTACCACTTAGGCATAGGCTGCTGAAGCTGCAGAGTATAAGTTCAAGAAGGGAAAACAGTTTATTATATCACCCTCACTGCTTTAGCCTCTTAACTTAGGCCTTTATCTTGGCCTTAATCCAACTTAAGTGAAAACTGAATTATTTAAAATAGCTAACCAGCAATTTTGTATCAACCTAACTGACGGCCAAAGATTTAATTCAGCCAACAGAGGAGAGGTTACGTCCTCTAGCTTGCATATGATAAGCCTTTGGAAAGATAATATCTTCAAATCTCCCAGTTACATTTGAAAAAAGATACCAGACTGTGCCAGTGACGACTACATGATTGGAGATAGAATTTAGAGTTGGGGAAGACTGAAAGAGTAAAAGAAAAGAAACTGGCATATGAGAAATTGTTATAGCAAACAGTTTTATGCTATCTTAATTCTATGCAGATTCAATTTCTTTATAGGCGTGGCATGTTTCTATGGAGATACTACAGCCTGCTCCCCAGTTCAACCGATATGCGTTGAGCATAGTTTTAAAATTGATTTGGACAGCAGAAACTGAAGTAAAAATACATGGGTTAGGAAATTAACAATCAATGATACTGAATTAATTGAGGTGATTTGGGATTGCATTTTTTTATTTAAGAAGTACCATGCTGTAAGCTGTTTCTCTTTGAATTCATCATTCATTTAAGCTACTAGATTTTTGAAAATGTTTTATTTTGAATTTAGGACTTGATAAAATTGAATTTCTTCAGAGGCATGAAAACCAAGAGATCTACCAAAAGGCTTTCGAACTTATAGAACATTATTTTGGTGTTGAAGAAGAGGACTCTAGTATTGCACCTCAGGTGGATGAAAGTCAGCAGCAGTTTGTGTTTCAACAGCAGGAGGCTCCGATGGAGGGTTTCCAGCTCTAAACTACTGAAGTGAATACAAGCATAAAATTCAAACACTTGTACGGTTTGGGTTTTGGTTGTTTTTTTTTTTTTCTCAGAGGTCTTTTCTTCCTGGCCAAAGTTAGAGGAAAAGCTGAATATGTTTTGCAGAAATAGATGAAGACGCAGCTCATGCACTTTCATATATTGTGTTAGAGACAAGTGTTCTCTGTTTTGTATTTGTGTTTTTCATTATCTCCTATGTACAGAAAACAACTGTGAGTAATCATGTCTAAAAGCATTAAATGTGATTTAACAAGAACTGTTAAGCTAAGACTTGGTAGAATTTTAGGTAGTGGTTCTGAATTTTTCATATAGTCTCAAACTTCATATCAGCAATACAGTTACTGACAGTTGCATTTTTGGCAGTAAGCTTGACTTGCCCAGTCCCTATCAAATCTACCTCTTGTATTGAAGCAGAAACATTGCTTCAAAACCAAGGCATGAAATAAAGAAGAGCTTGTAAGAAGCTGAATTGGAATGTGAAAAATATTTATTTAAATTGTGAAACTTTTATGCATTACTTACTTTACAACACACTGTTGAAGTTTATTTATAAAATGTATTTAAAGACATAGATATACGTATATAATGCTAATTACCTGATATAATACTGAATATATGAAAAAGTTTTTTCTGAATTATGTGGGAAGAAGACTATTTCAGAAGTTTTCAAATTGGAATCAGCAGAGAGCTTGCTGGTCATTTGATGTTGGCTCTGTAATGAAAGCTGCTAAATGACATTACAAGTCAGCCACAACTGCAGTACTTTGCAGTGGAAGCAGTTGCTGTAGTTACCACAAGAATGCTGCAATTATGAATGACAGAGATGGTGATTTGCACAAGTCACCAAGCAGATGGTTTACAGCTGTCTTCTGTCAAAATGTGGTAACACCACTTTAGTTTGAGAAACATTGTTTGCCTTTCTAGTACAGTAGCTTCTTAAAAGTTTAGACAGTAGGTGTTGTTTTTTGACCAAATATGCTACCGCCACTTGAATTGTTCCTTAAGTTAACGAATTCAGTTTTCTTTTGCTAAGACAATAGAAATACTGCAGTGAAGAATGAATAGTGAATCACTCCTTTCCAATTGAAGGAAAAGTTTGTTGTACTGTAAATAGCATTAAGTATGTGGACACCGAAACTAACTAGAAGTTATTGTCATCTAAATATTTAGGCTCTACAATATACCATGTTTGCTGTTAAACACTAAAAGAAATAGAATTCTGATATTTTATGTTAACAGTTTTGAATACAGAAAAATGTATACTCTGCTTCAACTTGCATATAAGTAGTGTTTCTGGTGTATTAGTAGTATATATTGTTTGGAGAAATTAATACTTTGAGTTATCTCTGAAGTATTGCTATTTTTTGTTACCTGTAATTAATGTATTAACATCAAACTCCTGGGTTAAGTGAAATCCTTGACATATGAGAGCATTTCATGCTTCATAAAAAGCTGCAGTTTAAACTTCAAATCACTCACCCATGGCACTGTGCTTATCACTAAACAATATTTTAATGCACTGAAAAAATACAGGTTAAAGGTGGTATCATTTACAGTACCATTTTATATTTAGAATTTTTTTTACATGCAAGTTAAGATTCTAAGATGTTTCACTTTGCTGTTACAGCAATATATTCTATATTGTAATTGAATGTGGGACTTAAAGTGGATTTTCTAAGATTAATGGTCAGTTTTGACTAAGATGTAACTGGGAGGGAAGAAACCTCCCTTTGAAGTCTTTTTAGTGGAAGATAGAAGTATAAGAAGTGTATATAGGAGTGCTGTTACTTTATGAACTCTGAATAATGAGATATTTTAGCAAATGACACTTTAAACCTAGATTTGTACAGCATACAACAGTTTTGAGTAGTGTGATAATATTGAGTACAGCTGCCAAATTTTCGTATAATGTTAGGTGATTGTACTTATGCCCTTTTTACTCTCATAGTTTTAGGTTTTCATATACCAACCTTCCTTCATTCACATGCTCCCCCTTCATCCCCCATCTATCAAAGTACAGGGTAACAATCATGGAAATCTACCAAGATTAGTAGCAAATGCTGAATTTCAATATTGTTTTAATGTAAGAAAATTATTCAGGTAACAGGGTATTTCTTTGTTTCTAACAACCTTGTTTTGATCACAACCAGCTGTGCCTGCTTTTTATTTGAAGAACCCTGTAAAAAGCCTCTCTTATAAGCCTTTCTTATTTAAACCAAATCTGAGCTCTGAAAGTCTTGGTTGAAAGACTTGAAAATGAAGAAAAGAGGGGACATTTAAAGTATTCTATTTGTTTCGAAGAAATGTCTTCAGTTGTGTGAATATATTATTCTATATGTGTGAACAGTTAGTGACTGCACTTTACACATTTAGATAAACTGTATTTCATACCTCTGATACATTTAAATGGAACAGTTTAAAAGGGAACTAAAATCGGTGAACTTTGGATAATGAAAATCATTATTTAAACTCAACATTTGGTTTACCCTAAAATTGTTAAAAAATAATGCTGAAAATCCTTTAAAGGATAAATATACAGGATGGCCTCTCCTATCTTATCACTGGGTTTACTTCATACTTTGTTAAAAGCACATAAATGAACAATATAAAATCAGAGATTATGACTTAAAGTCAACTCTGTTTTACTCATTCGCAGGAAGGGGCATGATTGTGATGATGTTGCCTAAACAGATGAAACCGATATGGAGAGAAAAACCAAATAAAATTGTGATATGAAAGTGTCTTAAAGTTTGCTATCTAATACAGAATCTGAAGTCCCCCATCACTTACAAAGTCTATTTAAAAATAAAGGGTTTTGGCTTTATTAAAAGGGTACCATTTGTTCCGTTTAAATGTGAATACTAACTAGCTAATCTATGCAACTATGCAGAGCATAAGATTTTTTTATTAGTTCCCTTCTCTTGTTACACTGAATCATATCTAATTTTTTCATCATTGCACTTTTGTCCAAGGACTGGTTCATACAGCTTTTTAATTTTCTAGTATTTGCTTTGAACACTGTTGCTAGCAGCAATCAGAAAATAGTGATAACGTTGGCACAGAAATGTTAGCTGTAGAACAAGTTTGCAACTGGAAACTATTTATTGTTGGACTTGTCTTTAAGAAAATAGTAAAGATGCACTATTGTCTTTCCTCTGTGGTTAATTCTCGGTTGGTTTAAATTTATTAAATTGTACAACTGAAGATTTTTGTAATAAGTGTGAAAATAGATATGTGAACTTCAACTGTGACCTTAAGAGTTCTCTGAAATCTGGAATGAGAAATTTCAGCAACTTATGACACAATGTCTTCATATAATGTGTGGAAACTACATTACCTATATTAACTTCAGGTAGTAATAGTGCATCTTTAAATCCAGGCCAAAGGCCCATTACCGTAACAGAACACATATGAGTAGTATGCAATATTATGGAATGTTAAATCTCCAAATACCGTACAGAAACCAATAAAACCTATTTTACAGATGTTTATTGTATTTATTTAGTGGTTCAATAAGTGTGGCTTCTTAAACTAGGAAATGCAAATACTGTTTTGAATACAGCATTGATGCAAATGAGTTCAAACTGTCTGATTTGTGTGCTGAAAAACTAGGCACTGTCCCAGACAGAAAACTTTGTGGGTTTAAGTATTTTGTCATTATCTAACTAAAGATGCCTGATATTCTTACAAAACTACCTCATCTCCTTTAAAATGAATTACTGCTTTTAAGCATATGCAAAACATTCTAACTAACTTTAACTATATGCAACACGTACACCAAATATCTCCCTAATAAAAGAGACCCTCCCTTTCTTTTTGTGATGCTGTAACTGCCCTTATTGGCCCCAGTGTGTGCATACTATTGTCCATGTATGGGTGAAACTCGCTAATTGCTCTCAGCAACAGTTAATTTTGCTCCTGGAAGGGCATTTGGCATTTCATATGAAGTTACTTTGCTTTTGACTCCGCGGCTAGCGCAGCCTCCTTCCGCCACTTGGCCTTCTTTGCCAAGTTCCAGCTTGTTAAGGACTCATGACGTGCAGCAGCCTGTTGAAGTAAAACATCTGAAGAGTAGTGTGGTAGGAGTAACAATGCACCCACAGGAAAGCCACCCAACCTCAGGAATGGACAGCAACTACTTACATACTGGGAGCTGGCAGAGACCAGGTCAGCTAAAACTTGGGTAGCTGTAAGCTGCTGCTCCTGGTTTAGGTTAGTCTACTTTTCACAGAATTCCATAATTTGAAAGTATGCTACATGGCCATACTCACCTTTTTAGCTGAAGCAATCACTGCAAAGCAGGCAACAATTGAGAGTCCAATCATGATGTAACAAGCTTTCACTCGAGCTTTGTTTCTTGCCTTGTCTAGCATCTCTGGCCTGCAATTAATATTGTTGAATTGAATCATTACAAAGCAGTAAAGTATCTGTTCTTCAAAGCATCACATACATAAAATCACAACTGAAAAATAAAAGTATAATGACCTTCTGAAACAAGCATCTTCAGCTTGCTGTGGTTGGTTATGCACCACTCATTTTCTGACCCTAATCCATTTCCCATGGAAAAGCAACATGCAAAAGCTTTCGATACTGTGAGCAGGAAAGGTCTATGGCAGATTTTGGAACGCTTAGGTTGTCCCCCCAAGTTCCTCAAAATGATCATCTCGCTCCATGAGGATCAACATGGCCAAGTCAGATATGACAATGCATTTTCTGAGCCCTTTTTAATTAAGAATGGTGTGAAACAAGGCTGCGTTCTTGCACCAACCCTATTTACAATCTTTTTAGCATGATGCTCCAAAGGGCCATGGCAGACCTTGAGGATCAGGACAGTATCTACATTTGATATCGTACGGATGGAAGCCTATTCAATCTAAGGCAACTGAAGGCCCACACTAAGACCTTAAACCATCTTATCCAGGAGCTGCTTTATGCTGATGACACCGCCCTTCTCACCCACACAGAAGCAGCTCTGCAGCGTTTAACATCCTGCTTTGCAGAGGCTGCTGAGCTCTTTGGGCTGGAAGTCAGTTTAAAGAAGACAGAAGTT